TGGTTAGTGTTTTGGGTGGGTTAGGTGTTACATAAGTGTTTTGGGTGGGTTGTGTAGTTAATGTTTGTGGTAGGTAATTAAGCAGTGTTTGGGTGGGATGGGTGCACAGGGTGGGGTGTGTGCCAAGTTTGGTAGAAAATATGGTTGATGTGAATAACTGTTGCTGGCTTATATGAAATAGTTAATGTTAACTGGTGTACATGTACATTCATTTGTTACAAATTATTTTTCATCTTTGCAGGAAAATATTCGCTAGAAGATCCTCATCCATGTGGCCCTGGTTACCCTTGCGACCTGAATACAAGTGTTTGTAGGGGACCTTGGGATGGCCCAAATAATGGAATAACAAATTTTGACAATTTTGGCCTAGCTGTGTTAACAGTTTTCCAGTGTATAACAATGGAAGGCTGGACAAATGTATTATATGATGTAAGTTACATGTATATGCTAATTTTAATTAATTATGCATGCAAGCTTTTTTTACCATTACTACTGTACCCTTTGTCATTTTTGCTAAAAAGTGATATTTCCGACTTCTTGTTAAAAAACGCGTATCTGATTGCTTTGATATTACATATATAGGTACTACATGTAGACCTCTCTCAGATTTGTTCATTTCGTGATGATATCTTTAATTCTCTTATTTTGGTGAATATTTTTGTAATTTTGTTCATTTCATGGTGATGTCTTCAATTCTCTAATTTTAATGAATATTTTTGGTGAAAAGTGATATTTTCGAATTTTTGTTGAAAAGAGCATGTCTGATTGCTTTGATACTATACATATTGTTCATTTTCTAATGATATCTTCAGTTCTTTAATTATAATGTGCATTGCTAACAGCGGAGCTATCTCAGCCGATAGGCTGCTTGTTTGGAAATTGACTGGTAAAAAAATTGTAATTGAAGAATTTACAGTATCCTTTCCTGGTGTCTGTCTGTGTCTTTTAGTATCCAGACTCATTCCAAAATTGGTTTTAGTATCCAGACTCATTCCAAAATTGGTTTTAGTATCCAGACTCATTCCAAAGTTGGTTTTAGTATCCAGACTCATTCCAAAGTTGGTTTTAGTATCCAGACGATTTTTGTACATTTAAGTTTCAAAACATGATACTTGTTTCCAAGGTGACTAAACACATGGTTAAAACTTTGGGAAGGTTTATGTTTGCAATCGGTTGCTGTCACATTACATAATGTACCATACGTACTTAATGTCAAATTATCACCCTCACAGTCAACTTTGTGGTCATGAAAGAACTTATTATTAATGCATGGTAGTAATCAATATTATATGTATTTCTAATCATTTCATGTTTTTATTTTGTTACTCAGATAAATGATGCAATAGGCAATGCTTGGCCTTGGATCTACTTTGTTAGTCTTATCATAGTGGGCTCATTTTTTGTACTTAATCTTGTTTTGGGTGTACTTAGTGGGTGAGTTCTTACATATCTTGTTTTTAGGTGTACTTAGTGAGTAAGTTGGTGCATTTTTGCACTTGTGTGTACGTGTAAACAATGACAAGTGAGTGATTTCTACATAATATATTTGGATCTGTCTTGGATATAAAAAATGCACTGAGAGGAAACACCAATGAAATTAAATTTACTCAACTTTTATTTTGATTCAGAGAATTTTCTAAAGAAAGGGAAAAGGCAAAAGCCAGAGGGGACTTCCAAAAACTTAGAGAAAAACAACAAATAGAAGAAGATCTTAGAGGCTACTTAGACTGGATAACACAAGCAGGTAATGTAGCTTGCCCTTTTGGTGTAAGTTGTAGGATTCTGTTCTGACATGTTTGCTTTCCTAGACATGCATACTTTTCTCATACTTTCATTAACTTGCACAACCATCAGTGAATATTACATTTTTGTTATGTCCCTTCATAGTGGCTTGACTTCTTAATTTTATATTTAAATCTGTAAGCTTGTAGCATTGGTTGTGCTTGCCTAAGTTGTTAAAATGAATACCGCCCACTATAGTTGTGGCATTGCAGTGAGTTGAAACTTACATAAATTGGTGAACGTTGTTTGCCATTGAAATTTGAATCTTGCAAATCTTTTGAATAACAGCTACCTGCACTATAGTGTTACCTACAATGCTTCATTGATAGACTATACATGTATATATACAGGTGTAGGGAACTAATCTTAAATGACAAGCCATCACTTTGTGTATACACTATCTATTCCATTCTCACTTCTTGATGCTTAACTATATTTGATATTTTTTGTAGAAGATCTAGACCCAGACAACGATAGCGAACCCGAAGCAGGTGCTCCTCCAAGACATGGTAAGAAATGTTTTCTTGAGGACATTTTCTATTCCTGTGTCTTGTCACCAAGACAACATTCACATTAATTCTGTTGCTATAGTAAACTATTATATGGAAAAGAGTATTTAGTATTCTATATAATCTGAATAAAAGCAATGTGTCTGGGCAGTTCTTGTTCTGTATATTTACCTCACATATTACAATTTACACTTTTCAGTTAATTAACATTTTTTTTACAGAAATATATATTATATATAGGTGTGTTTTTAAAAAAATAAAAAAGTATGGTATCTGTGCTCTCCACAGAGGAGCGCTTAAAGTTGAGGAAATCTGCATTCCTATAGACTGCTATGGACAGGATTACCTGCATTCCCATAGACTACTACAGACAGGATTACCTGTATTCCCATAGATGACTATGGACATGTTTATCTGTATTCCCATAGACTACTATGGATATGTTTACCTGTATTCCCATAGACTACTACTGACAAGATTACCTGTATTCCCATAGACTACTATGGACAAGTTTACTTGTATTCCCATGACTACTACAGACAGGATTACCTGTATTCCCATAGACTACTATGGGCAGGTTTACTTGTATTCCCATAGACTACTACTGACAAGATTACCTGTATTCCCATAGACTACTATGGACAAGTTTACTTGTATTCCCATGACTACTACAGACAGGATTACCTGCATTCCCATTGACTACTATGAACAGGTTTATCTGCATTCCCATAGGCTACTATGGGCAGGTTTACCTGTATTCCCATAGACTGCTATAGACAGGTTTACCTGTTTTCCCATATACTATTACAGACAGGTTTACTTGCATTCCCATAGACTACTATGGACAGGTTTACTTGTATTCCCATAGACTACTACAGACAGGATTACATGTATTCCCATAGACTACTATGGGCAGGTTTACTTGCATTCCCATAGACTGCTCCTGACTTGTTTAACTGCATTCCCATAGACTACTATGGACAGGTTTACTTGTATTCCCATAGACTACTACAGACAGGTTTACCTGTATTCCCATATACTATTACAGACAGGTTTACTTGCATTCCCATAGACTGCTCCTGACAGGTTTAACTGCATTCCCATAGACTACTATGAACAGGTTTATCTGCATTCCCATAGACTGCTACATACAGGTTTACTTGCATTCCCATAGACTGCTCCTGACAGGTTTAACTGCATTCTCATAGACTGCTATGAACAGGATTTTCTGTATTCCTTGACTGTTTCTGACATTTCCAAATTTTCTAAATGATTCTGAGGTTCTAGGTTTTGTATTTTTTTTCAATTTGACATTTATACAGTGCCTCCATTCCCTGTATACCCAATATTCACTACTAGCAGATCAAGTAGCAAAGCCACTTTAAAACCAAATAAATTATTTTGCTACCAAGTCCCAAATTAAAACAAAGCAAGAATAATTTTACTTGTACTCCATGATTTGTTGCTCAAATCTAAACAATCAAATACATCCTTTTCCTCCTCCAACACCCTCCGTTCTCCTCCAACACCCTCCGTTCTCCAACACCCTTCGTTCCCCTCAAACACCCTCCGTTCTCCTCAAACACCCTCCGTTCTCCTCAAACACCCTCCGTTCTCCTCCAACACCCTCCGTTCTCCTCAAACACCCTCCATTCTCCTCCAACACATAAACAAAATCCTGAAAGATAAAGGTTGTTAAGGTCAGCTTGAAAAAAGGTAACTTCATGATAAGTTTTGTCAGGATATCCTCAAATGTTGTAGTTCGAAAAAAACCCATAAAATCACTTCTACTTAGCACTGAAACTTAACTAATGTTGTTTAATATTCACAGTAACCACCAATTTTGAGTGTGTAATAATACTAACTACAATCTAGTGTTGTATATATTTATACATGTATGTCATATGCTAACAAACATAGTCAAAGTACTTATGCTTTTTTGAAACGCTTGCAGTTCTTTGGAAAAGATTTGGTACCCTTACAACAAAAGGTAGGAGGCATGAGCAGCCAAGATGATAACATACAATGCTGTCTGGTTTGAATACTTTCCCCTTTCCTTTTTCTTCCTTGACAACTAATGTAACTATTAACTGTTCTGTAATACCAAGACGTGTGAAATTGAAAATACATTGACCATTATTCAGTATCATTACAAATAGCAATTATCTTTATTTAAAATTCTGTTTTTGATAGAACTAATATCTTGGCATTACAGAGTATAAAGCATACTTATTGCACTTTACTACTAGTACTTGTGTCTCACTTAAACCCATGTCTTTTTAATTATGTGTACCTATCCTAGAATTGCCATGTATCAGTGTGTTTGTGCTGATTACAAAGTGTATCTCTCTGCTAGTGTAAAAGTAAGCTTTGCATCCCTTTCTTGTCTCCACATAATTTTGTTACTTTGTCTTAATTTGATATTGTGTGATTCCTATGCAATAATTTGACTGCAATTGAGAAGTATCTGCTGTAATAATTTGCATGCAATGCATGTTGAGTCCTGGCAATTCACATGATTAAAAGTTGTGCCACTTTGTAGATGGAACCGGCATTGTAGTGTCTGTTAGTGCCACCCCCCCCCCCTCCCAGCTTTTAAATTCAAATTCTGCTGATATATCATGCGTAAATGAAAGAATACCTGTCTGTTGTTCTCCACACTTCTCTCTGCTTTGATCCCATCACTGTATCCCATCTCTGGCTGCAAACTGATTATAGTTTGTTTGTTTTTTTTTGAAAATGCACTGTTCTTATGCTTTGATTGTTTTAGAATTGCTGAATTTTGAATTCTTAGCGCAGTATCTGTGTTTACTTTTGTCATTTATGTGTAAAATGTCCATTGTCATATCTGTAACGTTTCATGCATACATGTAGCATATTCTAAAGCTGGTCAATCCTGTAATATTATCACATTAAATATAAGTAGTGTGTCTATAATTGATATGATAAGGTTACGTGATTGACAGATTTAGAATATAATGCTGTCTTTGAAGAAGAGTTTCACTCATGAATTAATCTGCAGTGCGAAGGAAAATTAAAACAAATAATATTACAAGTTTTCTTTGAACAATACATATGTACTCCAACCTATCACCTGCTCATATCATAACCATTATTATTTTTTCTTTTCATTAAGTTACAGCAGTGTGCTATTCATCTTCTGTTCCTAGAAAGTTGTTACCATGGCAACCAACATCCTACCCTTTGATTATGTAACTTTATTTCATTTTGTTTTATTTTCATTGTAAAAACTCTTTTTATTTTTACTTTTATTTCAGCCTACATTAATTTTAAGTTAAATGTTCATTATCCTTTCTTTTTTTTCTGTCATCAAGTATTCCATTCTGTTTCCTTATCTCTCATTTCTCTTTATGTACAAACAATAATTATGATAATCCTTTTTTTCTGTCTCTGATTCATCTACTATATGCAATGGTTCAGTTGTAGCAGCAGTGACTGTGCTTCTTTACTATTATACATATTTATTAACTCTGTTTGTTGGTTTGTTTGATTCTTCAAGTTCCTAAACCGGTTAGTGAGACCGATTCTTCAGATAAAACAGAAGATCTAGGTAGTGGTGAAATAACACAACTGTCTTGGTATGAAAGAAAAAGGTGAGAATTTCCCAAATGCCTAGGATGATATAAGTGCACAAGTTTACGATAATCACATAATCTCTATCAGATAATGGCATTTCACAAAAGATATAGTGACTCCATCTAAAGATCCCTTAAGTGACTCCTGACTCCCGAGTGACTTCCTGTCTAAGACCCCCTAGTTACTTTCTGTCTAAAGATTCCTTACTGAATCCTTGGCTGAAGACTCCTTAGTGACTGCCTGCCTAAAGTCTCCAAATTGACTCTTCCCTCTTGGTGAATCTCTGTCTGAAAATACACATGATGACTCTCTGCCAAAATACCCATAATGCTTCACTCTACAAAGTTTAATGATTTTGCTGTCTCTCCACAAATCATGAATAAAATTTCTCACAAATGATATCTGTTTGCAATGTGTCCTCCAGTATTGCTCACATGTTAGGATGGAAAATCAGATATTTAAAAAGTACCTCTATTTTAATTTTGTAGGTGTAAATACTCCAAAAAGCTGCTTATTAACCAATCATGTTGGGGTTGTTTCAGTATTTGGTGTAGTAGTCATCAATTAATTGTATTTCTTTTTACGTAGAAAACAGATGCGACGAATGAATCGGCGCTGCAGAAGAGTTTGTCGACAAGCTGTCAAATCACAGGCTTTTTACTGGATAGTTATCGTAATGGTTTTTCTAAACACCTGTACACTAGCATCTGAGCATTACGATCAGCCAACGTGGTTGGATAATTTTCAAAGTAAGTTAAGCATTTATTAGTCCCCGTTCAGGCGCAGCCTGAAAAGGGGACTTATAATTCAGGTTTTGTCCTTTTTCCGTCTCCAACATTTTCTTAGAAATTCTACAGCAGGTATCAGTTAAACTTGGCAGGTTGATGAACAAGTGTCTTCCGAGTATGCACGTAATGTTTTTTCCAGATCTGAAAATCCCAAGTGGGTCTTTTTCACGATTTTTATCAAAAATTACCTCTCCCGGCAACATTGACAGAACGTCTGCGCATGCTCAGAATAAATTAATTACTGTAAAATACTTTATTTTTGCTTGCAACATTTTTTTGCTATTTTCGCTGAAGGAATGTTTCAGTTAAAATAAAATCCAGCGATTATTCCCTTTTTCCTATATTTTACAGTCAAACTTGTCAAAAATCAATGAAAA